ACATTAGGCTGCACAGCTGTGAAGCTTCATGGGCGCAGGCGGACAAACTAAGCCCGGACGTGATATGCTTCAATGCTGCCATCAGTGCCTGTGTCCGAAGCCAAGCTTTTTCTCAGCCATGGTCACTGTTTGCGCACCAGCTTGTGCCCGAACTGCAAACTTCAGTGCATGCGACAGAAGATCTAGTCGAAGCACTGTTGAGAACTGTTGTCGGGGGAAGCCAAGTCGATACCGTCCAAAGGCCTTCCATAAACAGAGTTGGGCACCCATAAGAGCAAGGAACAGAGACAGCAACTGCGATTCGCTACAGCTTACTGTACAGAGCCGTGGTTCGGCATGTGTTTCAGACGTGGGGGCTGGCCCACGGAAAACATTTCAAGCGTGTCGCAAACAGTTAAGTTACATTCATATATTCTGCGAGCTTGACCGCGGAGTGACAAGCAGGAATCTGGGAGCCGAGAATTAAACCGACCACAGACAGTCGCCCAAAAGGAGTCCTACCATTATGAAACTGATCTTTGGAGAAATATGTTGTTCAGATAAAGGGCAAGGGACTGGCAAGGGCAACGGACTTTGAACGAATTTCGAAAAAGAACACGCTCTCAAGACTGAGTGGTGGGATTGCAGCAAAACTCCGGAGCATTGCACAAAGAGAAGTTTTGGTACACCTCGCTGTCGCAAGTTTACTGACGCAAAGGGGCACTGGCAAGAGATCTAGATGCCTGCAGCTTGCCCAGACAAATTCTGCAAAGCCTCTCCCCGGCTTTGAAGATGATCTTGAGGACCGCTGCTTTGCATGGCAGCAGGGGTTTTGGCTCCTCGCTGAACTTTGCCGGCGCGATCTACGCCCAGACACTATTTCCTTCGCCAGTGCAGTCTCATGCTGTGTGGCTGGGCTTATGCTTCTAGCTTGAGAGATCTTTGTTGTGGAGATAAGGTGATTGAGCTAGGAAGGGAAAAGGAACTGAAGCGAAACACGGAAGGCTTCTGCTGTCTTTGAGGCGAAGACTGGACGCTGGAGTCAGGCCCTCTCGCTGCTGGAAGTTACAAGGATTGAAGGAAATGCTTTGCAATGTCGCTATGTCTTGCTTACGCGGCCTTTTTTCAATGACTGCAAGGACTAGCGGCGCAGAACTTGGCACGTTTATCGCCAGTTCCTTGCTTCGCTCAAGCGTACTGCGCTCAAATCCTCTTCAAATTGTAAATTCGGGGATAGACAGCCTTTGGTTTCTTCTCTTTGCCTTTCAAGGTATCCGAAACTGAGACTCTGGAGCCGGAGTCTTCCGCGGGCCCTTGGCGCAACGCCATCGCTGCCGTTGCGGGCCTGCGGCGCTCCACTGTGGAGTTGGACACTGTTGCCAGCAATGCCATGCTGGCAACTTCTTCAACGCAGAGTCTTGGATGGATACAGTCTCTAACACTCCTCGCTGGAATGGCCTGCTGCACTTTAGCATTTTCCGAGGCTGGAAATTGTGCCATCCGGTGAGTTTGGAGTGCGAGATTTGCTTTGCATTCGAGGATTCCTGTTCACGCTTCTTCCTGCAGGTGAGCTGCCGGATTGCTGTGGCAGGGTGTGCGATCAAAAGCTGGACGCGCAACTTCGACCGCATTTGGAGAGGCCCACCATCATTGGTCTGAGCTCACCAGCCGTCTCTGCGTAAAGAAAAATGGCTGCCAGCTCCAAAAGCCCTACTACACGATCTTGGCCTTGTCGTATGGCATAGCAAGTTGGCCTTTTTGTTGATTGCTACTCAGTCCAGGATTTGCCGCCTGAGCTCCATGCAATCCTACAGCCCATGTGCAGTTGTTGCACACAATGCTCAAGTTGTTCATTAGAGGAAAGTTGGCCAGGTATGCAAGCAAACACTCTCGGACCTGTATCCATGCAGAAATTGGACACCATTGAACTGCAAAAGGAGAGCGACGGACAATCTACGGTTTGACCTCCAAGCTTTCTCTCAGCCGGGTGACAGGAAAGAAGTCACGCAAAACTCACGACATCGATCCTGGCTAGTGATCCTGGATGCCAGGAAAGAGTGCTGCAGATCTGGCTTTGATGTCACAGATGCTGCCAGAAGTCAGAATAAGTGGAACTTTTCAGACCTTGCTGAGGCAGGTGGCCTTAGCTTGCAGTTTCAAGAGTCACCAAGACGCGGAAACATCACAGCATGGACCAAGCTTGTGCAAAAAAACAAAGTGGCTGGAAGGGTTGCTGAAGATGCAGTGAAGCTGTGAGTCTATTGTGAGGATTCCCACGCTCACTCGCAGTTGACTGGAACGCTTTTGTTCACTGATGCTGAGAAGAAGCAGTCTTTTACGCTCCACAAGCAACACGCGCTGGTAAGTCAAGGCGTCTACAGAAAGGTTCACTTGACGTCACACATTTGTGTCATTTTAAAACCTAGACGGAAGGTCGTTGGCATGCCAGTTGGAATTTGTGTCTGATCTCAGGTGCCCTTGCAATTCTGGTTAGCAACTCGGCCGGGGTAAGGCCCTGTACGAGCCTTGTCGGCATCAGATTGGTCTTTGCTCCTTCAAAGAGATGGATTGAAGAAGGGAGTAAGATATAGGTGGGTGTCTGACCGTTTCCCGGCCAGGACAGGTGGCAGGCCCTGTAGGCTTCTGACATTTTGAGGCCGGTTGACATCAACTCTTGCGCAATGGCCTGCGAGAGGCTGGGCTTGTTGGATTCTAAGCTTTTCGTTTTCTGAATCTCGTGCTTCCAATAAGGATGAAGGAGCCGCTCCCCATGCAAGCTCTCCTGCAATTGGCGGAGACGCAAGGACAGGATGCCAAATTGTGGTTGGGCCCTAGCCCGAGCCCATGCACGGGCCATGGGGCTCCTGGGTTTCACTGGGCGAGAAACCAACCTTTTATCCCCCAAGCAGACAGCAATTGGAACAGTATTTTGAAGGTGTGAATGGCACCTTGGGGTTGAGCCCATATGTTGTTTGCGAATTTGCCTGGGTGGAGTTTTGTTTTGGGACGCTTTTGATTTGTGCCTGTTTTTTGGTGGGGGCTGGGGGCGTTCGGAATCGAAGGAAGTCTCACACGAGAGTGCGTTTCTGAGGCAGAAGCCGCGAGGACTGATAAAAACTCACCCAAAATCTTGAAAAGTACATTACAATGATGTAAACATGATGAAAATGATATGAAAACGATGAAAATGATGAAAATGATAGAAAATTGGTGAAGATGATAGGAAATGATGAGGATGATAGAAAAATGATAGAAAATGATAGAAATTGTTGAACAATTAGGAAATGATAGAGAAATGATGAGACATTGTGAAACATAGGAAAATGATAGAAAAATGATGAACTGAGTGAAGAATAATGACAAAGGACAGGGACATTGTAGAATAACCTAAATGAAATTCAGAAACAATGATGAAGCATGATAGAAAGTGCTGAAAAATCATGAAACTGATGCGAAGTGATGAAAAATGAAAAAAGTGATGAACAGTCATGATAGCTGATGAACAATGATGACAAATAATGAAACATAATGAGCAACAATGAAAATGATAGAAAATGATGAACAAGATGAGGAGGAAAATGATGGAAAACGAAAACAACGATGAGCACGACTAAAAGTACGAAGCCTGATGTTGAAAAATGATGGGTAATTATGATAACCATGAGAAGATGGAGCATGGACGGCATCAAAGGCCGGGGGGGGGGTTGGGGTAGGCGCAGCCCCCCCCCCTCCCCCGATTTGCAAACAAAATGAGTTGAATAATTGCAGCAAGCTTGGATGGCCTCACAAAGAAAGGGGGGGGTGTCGGGATCATGGAAAGTACGGAGATGACTTGAGACGATGACACTGGCGGGCATGGATGGTCGTAACAAAGGCGGGGGGTTGGGGGGGGGCGCAGCGCCCTCCCCCATTTGCAAACAAAATGATCTGCAGAACCCTCCCTTACTGATCAACAACAACAACAACAACTACTACTACTACTACTACAACTACTACTTCAGGAAGGTACAGAAAGCGAGCAACCACAGAGCTAGAAATCGAAGAAACCCAAAAGCCAAGAAGCCACAAAGCCACATAGCCAAAAAGCCAAGAAACCCAAAAGCCAAGAAGCCAAGAAAGCCAACAGAAAGAAGGCAGAAGTCAAGTAAGTGATGAAAATGATGGAAATTCTGAAGATAATGGGACATGAAAAGATTACATTAAAATTGTATAGAATTGAGGAAATTATATAAACATGATGAAATTGATACTAAAAATGATGAACATGATAGGAACTAAAGAAATATTCGAAATATTACGAACATCATCGAACATCGTGGAAAATGGTGACAATGATGAAAAATGATGGAAAAGACACAATTCGAACACGCTCCAGGCCAGGGGCACCCACCCAACACAAAAAAGAACAAAAAAAAGGTCACTAAAAAAAGTTACCTTCATTCTGCCGCTTAGGAATGCTCTCTCAATGACCACTCCGGATCAGATATTCTGATAGATATGTAGGAGCGGTCTGTTGCAGTCTGTGCTGGACTAGGCGTCAAATCTTTTACAAGTTGCAGGTGATGTGACGCTACTGCAAGGAGCCGTCATGTTGAACAAGATGCAACACCGTGAAGTTTGTCCCTGCTGCTGATGACGCCACATCATCTTGGTTCGTGCTCCAATGGCCTTTCTTTGACTGGAGCCCAAGCAGGACATCCATTGCAAGGGCAGCATGGCAGTTGGCAACAAGCGTTTCGACTTACAGGGAAGCAAGCCGCGAGAACTCAATCCTGGAACGAGACAGTAGGCAAAGACAAAAAGCAAGGGCGGCATGGAGTTGGGAGGCTCGCTTTGGATTCGAAGATCTAAGAGGCTGGCGATGAGTTGGATGCAGTAGATGAAGGTTTGCAGAACCAGGAGAAGCATGACAGGAATCTTGAACCACTCACGCCCCTCAGTGCTGAAAATTGAACCCGATCTGCCTGCCTTTGTACATGGCTGAGAGCAGCTGAGAGTACTTCAAGTGAGCCTGTGGCCAGGTTAGATGACATACCTTCGAAGTTCCCTCAATGGGTGGAGCCCTTGATCCATTGACTGACAACTTCGCTTGCAGCCTTTCCTGGTATTAAGCCTGTCCAGGCATCAAACTTCATTTTCGTGGATCAGCTTCCGCCAGATTTTAGAGCGCCCGCTGCTGAGCATGCAGGGCAGCGGAGTGTGCAAACAGCGAGCTGCTTTATTTCTGCTCTCGTGTGGAGAGGTGGTAAAGCGGGTTCAGCTGCTCGCCTGAATCCCAAGGACGGCCGTAGACTCTGCCAACAGGGTCGTGTGCCTACGCGGACGTACTGTTTCACCATGATCAAGCTCCATCTAAGCACAAAGCAGACAGGCAAGTAGTACAACAATATGCCTTTTTCTCTGCGGGTGCTGAGGTGATGGCGATGGAGCACGTGGAGGATCATGTGTACGGACTCCAGTGGCATCCAGAGGCGTGCCAGGGGTACATTTGACTCGAGGTCTCGTGTGCTGGTTTGGATTGCAAGCCTAGTTCGACGGCACTTTTCTCGAGAGGTCATCAATAGCAAGATTGGTCGAAGAATAATGGACCGTATCTTCTCGCTTGTTGGCCAAGCCCTTAGGAAAATCAGCACGACTGGCAAATGTAGGGCCCAGCCAGGCAAGCTGGACGTGCCACTTGCTGTACATGCGTAATCATGCTGATGGCCCAGGCAAGCCCCGCGCAACTCATCGCGGCACTTGTGCTCCTGCCGCAGGCATGGACGACTCGCAGATACTACAGAGGCTGTCGTCGTCCGTACTCCATGCGCAAGGTCTGAAACCTGAACCTTCATTTGGCCTACGGCTCAAGATGTCTGTGTCCTAAGTCATTCAGATCAGCCACCTCGAGGTGTGCAGGTTTCGACAGGTGACATGGAGGCCCTAAACGCCCATACGGTCTGGGATGGATCCGAAAGCAGAGTGGTCCCTGGTTTGCAGGTTCTGAGCTTTCATGAGGTGGACCTGGAGTTGCGTAAGGTCGTCAAGGCGCGAACCCGAAACACTGGAATTCCCAGTTCTTCGTCGTTGTTGCTCAGCTTTTTGCGGGTGCAACAACTGGCTGCATCCTATGACCGGTGGCTTCATCAGCAGCTGGTAGCTGCTGTGAGGTGGTCGGGGTTCATGTTGTGTCAGGGCTGCTGTCGTTCTTCTTCCCATGTGCTTCTCCCTTTTGCACGCAATGTCTGAGGACCTTATACAGCGCAGTGGTGGCGGCAGCGCTGCTGCTGATCTTGGACGATTGCTTGCAGGCCGCAGTATACTGTTTGGTTCCTGTGCAGGAGATTGCTGCAGATTGCAAGACAAATAGCGACTTGTCGCAGGCAGACGCCGTGAGTTGATGAGCACGCTTCGTAGACCGGGGCTCAGCCGGCGATCGCTGTCTCAGATGTTGTCAAGTTTTTCAGCGCTCGAGTGAAACCACCTTCCCAGCACATGCCAAACTTCAGCTTTAGCTATCCAACAATTGCACCATGCTCTCAAAAAATTGGGTTTGGATTTTGAAAGGATTGCTCAGCATTTTGTTCTCTTCTTTGCGACTCCTGGCTACCATCTTCAAGACCCACGCAGAATAATGGGACTGCGAGAAAAGTCGAAATCTTCGCAACGCAGGGGGACAAGGGGCAAAAGCCGAGGCACATTGCTCAAGAAACTCTGTATAAGAAGCAACTGGATTGTCCTTCAGCAGGGCAGCTCCAAATCTGCTGCGATGCTGGCAGACAAGGGGAGCAAGAGGTTTAGAACGTTGTTGTCAACTCCTTGTCAGGCAAGTCTGAGAGATTCTATGGCACAGTTGTTTTGCAATTTGAACCACATGGGGCTTCTTGAAAGTATGTGGGGCTTCAGGTCATATATGCTCCTTATTTGCTTTTCAACTATAAGGACCTTGAGCCATTGCTTGCTTGCACACTCCTCTAGTCAACTGGTTTTGACACTGCCTTCATTTTTTTCTCGTCACAGAATTGTCGCTGCACTTGTTCTGCAGCCCTTCCCTCGTGGTCTGCCAGGCCAGGTGTATCCTAAAGCATGTGCAATATGTACATGAGATTACATGAGTGTTTTGGACCTGAAGCCATTTGTCCACCAGCTGTGTCCGAGTTTCAAGTTGTCTCCAGGAAAGGCTCCTGAAAGGAGTTGGTCTGCAATTTTCCTCCAGCAGTCCTCCGTCTCCAACTTGTGGTCTGGGGAGGATCTCGCACTGGATTTAGACCAAGTATGGATTTTGGTCAAATCGAGACTGCCAAATCAGAGCTCCAGAAAACACACATACGTGTCGGAGTATTTTCTGAAATTGCCGGGATAAAGTGCATCAAGATAAACAACGGGAGTCCCTTCTCATCCTGGATTCACAAGTGCTGGCCGCATTTTTTCTTTTTGCGAGTGAACTGGGCGACTGATGGCTTCTGTGCGACGGTGTGGTGCCAATTTTTCTGGAAGCCAACTTAGGATCCAAGAATCAACAAAACACACACGGTGGACAGCCTGCACCAGGTGCAACGGCTGTTGCATCATCTCCTGCGTGACCCAAGTCAACGCACAAACAGAAGAGGTTTTGTTGCGGGATCCTCCTTGAAAGACAAACAAATGGTTGCAGCTGCTGACTTCCTTTTGCGCTCGAAGCCATGTGGGCGCGGAGCTTAGCATCCGCTGAGGAAAAGGCCTGGGGAGCAGGGGTTCTGGTTTTTCGAGCGTTCCGCTTTTCTTGTGGTGGCGGAGCTCCGATAAGGGGCTGTAGGTTGTACTGCGCGGTTGTTTGGGGCCCTGGTCTCTAGGCAGCCATGGCTACTTCACCGGAGCAAGCTCTGTGGTGGGAGCGCCTCAGCGATTCTGAGGATGATGTAGGATCCGCTTGAACGGTGATCGGGGAGTTTGGCGTGAGCGCGAGGCCGTGGGAGCCTTCAATGATGGGTTCATTGAGGGGCCGCTCTTCGCAGGGTACTCCAGGCCCCGGCCGCTTCAAGAGCTACGGAGTCGTGGTCTGGGACATCAGATTGGGGCAAGGATTCTTGGGTCGCCGCTTAGACCAGCATCGGCGGGATGGAGACGAGGCCGAGTGACCGAGTGAATGAAAATTGGGACGAAGTCGCTCCCCGCCAGGACGAGCGGGACCGTTTTCGTGAACAAGATCGCGTGGGAGGCATTCTGTTGCCGAGGTTGCTGGGGCGGCCATTGACGACCGCTGACCTTCGAGGACTTGGCCTGGATTCCCCGGAAGGAGAAGGCCGAGGTGGACTATCTGCTCTTTGAACCGATTCTCCGCAAGGACAAGGGAGAGGAGGGAGAGGGGCGAAGACGAACCGAGCTCGAGCACACGATTCTCCGGTTCGGGATGGACACGACTCAGTCCATGTCCCGCCACAGGATTCTGTTGCAGCGTACCGCGACCACCATGCACAGGACCGGCGCAGCCTGCGTCGGCTTCAGGATAGCTGAACTGGACTAGCTGCTCTTGAAGCGGATCCTGCGCAAGGACAAGGTCAAGGGGCAACCAATATGTTAGGAGTGCCGTCTGTTTGTCAGGAAAGTCAAGGCAAAAGCGCGTCGCATCAAGGACCATCAGGCAGCTCAGTAGCGTACCTGAAGCTCCATGGCTCCTTTCTTCCGGCCTTCTATGCTAAGCCTGGAGAATCATGGAAGGATTATTGGAGGACAGTTGAGTTCTGGCTGGCGTGGAAGTGGCTCATCTTCCGGCGAATGTGAGGGTGGCGAGACTCGTGCAGCAGTTGAAGGAACGAGCAGGCAAGATTATTAATTACTATTGTCTGTGCAGGACATCTCGGGGGATGATGGCGTGCGCCTGATTAAGGCCGAGATGGAGAAATCGCCCCATTATCTGCCTCCTTGAGCGCAAGGAGGTGGACAAGAAGAGGCAAAAGCTCACGCGGCTTTCGAGGTACCCGTACGAATCCCTGGAAAGCGATCATTTTCGTGACGGTGAATGGAAGCTCTGTTGATAAAGGAGCCAAAATTATCGCGTGGCATCGAAGTTTTACCTCGGCCGCCTTATGGATGCTGCGCAATTGACCCGTCAGGATGAAGCCTTTGTCAAGACGACTGCAGGTGGACTCAACGACGAGCTGAAGGTGGTGAACGCTCTCTTAGAACTGTCGGACCGACTTGAAGGAAAAGGAGGTTTTCCCATCGGACGAGCGAGCCAGAATTGCCTCACGATGATCAATACATCTTCCAGAAGCGCAGCCGGAGTGGGCAGCCAACGTTTCCCTTCAAACGTGAGCGGGATGAGCGGCGCCGCAGGGCTCAGAAGTACAAGCGCTTCAAACAGTTCCACGCGATCCTGGAGGACGACGAGGAGGCGGACCAGATGCTCAGCGATGCCTTTGGAGATGACGACAGTCAGGAAGGCGAAGGCATCGCTTCGCCCTCGGAGTCTGGGAGCCGACGTGGCGAGGACGAAGACGAGGACTTCATGCCTGCCGAGGTTTACGCCGGTTTACGCCCAGGAGTACCGAGCCAAGAAAAAGATCAACGAGTTGAAGCAGATGCGTCAGTTCTTCAAAGGGGGGAACACCGAGGAGACCAAAACGTGGGTCAAGGAGCAGCAGACGAAAGAGCCAAGAAAGAGCCATGCTTTCTGTGCCAGAAGCTGGGACAATGAAGTAGGGAATGGCCCGGGAGATCTGCCAAGAAGGGTGGAAAAGCCTTTCATGCAGTTCACGTTACTGTGGGAAATCCCCAGCCAGAGCCTGGACACTGGGGCCTTCTCGAAGCCATGGCAGGAGATACAGAGGAGTCAGGTCTCTGCTCGGGGGTCTCAACAGACTGTTTGGTTGCTCAGGGACCACGCAAGTGGTTGATCATGAGACGTTTTGGTCGTTGAGAGAGCTACGCAGCAGTTTGATCCTGGATCTGGTTTGCGTGAAGTCCGTTGCTGGCACGAAGTGGGTGAATCAGCGCATTCAGAAGTTGAGGTCCGAGGGTCGTTGGATGAGAGCTGACAAAGAGAAGGAAAGCTTCCGTTTTGGGGATGGATATGAAGTGTGGAGCCCGTATGCCTCTATCTTCGAAGCCACAGTTTTGGGGGTTGGAGTGATTTTGCGACTGAGTGTGCTTCCCGGAGAGTGCCCTCCCCTGCTGTCCAAGCCGGCATGTACTCAGTGGGCGTGGTCATTAATACCGAGTTAATACCGAGCATCATACAGTGTCTTCGCGGAAGCTTAAGGTCTCTAACTATGGTCTTGCTCAAACTTTTTGGTGGTCACTAGGCCGCTATGCCTTGCCCACTGCAGAGGTTGACCCTCAACACCCTCCTCTATATGACCCGGAAGTACCAGCCTATATTGAAGCCATCCCGGTATATGTTGCTACAAAAGCCTCAGAAGCACCTGAACCAGCTCAGTCAGAACTGCCTTCCCAGGCTTCAAGTCATCGCACGGGTCTCTCTGCTTTGCGCTCATGGACTAGACAGGACAAGGGTGTGCCGTGTACCATGGGAACAGGCAGAAACGGTCCACTCTGGAACCATCGTTAGGCAACCTTTTGGAGCCAAGCGTGACGCAACGACGATTCTCATGTACCCTGGCGCCGGCCCAATTGGGAAGCCCTTAGCGTTGCCTATGTGTAAAGGCAGTGACACATTCAATTCGCCGCATGGTCAAGGAACAGCGCCCTCAAACCTTCGACCTCGCAGCGGGACCCACCTGTCATCCGAAAAGAGTCGAGGGAAATCATCCTGCAGGAGGACGACCGAAAGGAAGCCAAGCCTCCTTTTCAAGCCGAGCCCCCGCGGCGAAGTCTTCCTCTCCAAGTCGCAGACCGAGGTCTCACTCCCGCGAGAAGGTGAAGTCCGCGACCCTCGAGAGACGGGGAGCGCGACCCAAGTCGAGGGCAGCCACAAGGAGGACGATCCCCCGTCAACCAAATCAAGCTTCGAGGACCGGAAGGGCAAGGACGAACGTCGAGCCTAGAAGTAAGAGGACTCGGAGTCTTCCATGGATGTGGACCTCGAGGACGAGACGACAGACTCCCGGAACAACATGAAGCCGATCGAGTACTTCAAGGCCAAGGTGGCATTAATCGACGACGTGATGAAGCGCGAGAAGAAGTTGCTGAACTCCACCGAGAACGTGAAGGAAGATGAGTTCGTGAAGCTACGAATGAAGAGCAGCCCCGGTAGAGCAGATCAAGGAGATCAAAAGGCCCACAAGGAATTGACCAGGGAGCCGCGCAAGGTGAAGGGAAGTGGCGCTGCCGCCTCCAAGAGTAAGGCGCGCGCGTCGACGGACAAGCCCGAGACATTCGAGGAGACGAGGGAGAAGGGATGGTGAAGCCCGGAAGAACACAAGGGCGACCCCTGCGCACCAGCCGAGCCGGCGCCGGGTGAATAGCAAGGGGAAGTAGAAGACTTCAAAGGCCGCCCCCAAGCAGTTGACGTACGCGGCCGCGCCCCTCCCGACCTTGTGGAACAAGTGCTCGGAGGACGTGGTGGTCAACATGGCAATCTGCCTCCAGTCCATGCTCTTCACGTGCAAATGGAAGCAGTTCTTCAGGGTGATCCGAGTGCGCCAGGCAACAAGGGCGGAGTTCGGACGGCGCGCTTGGTGGAAGAGACACCCTTCATAATTGATGGCGATGCTTGCCAGGCAGGTATCCTTTATGTGGGGCCACATGAAGTCGCGGAGGCAGACCATGAACAATTCCAAGCACCTCCGCTTGGAGGAGGAGGTGCCAAAACGAAGAAGCCGTCGCGCGGCCTGATGCAGAAGCTGAAGGGTGGAGCGGGGCAAGCTCTGGCGACCATGCGCATGTTGACGTTGATGGCGACATGCGAAATGAACTGGGCGGCCTGAAGAATTTTCCTGTGAGTGGAGATATGCAAGGAGTGACTGGATGGCATGCGGAAGGTCCATGGAAGCCGGGTCGGAGTCGTTTGGAAATGCGATCGAGTCGAAGGATTCTGCAACAGGCGAAGGAGATGAAGCCCGACCTGATTTTCCTTTCACCACTTACTGGACTATGGTCTTTTTGGGTGGCCCACCCTCCGGCAGCAGACTTGGGCTCCAAGGCCACGTGTTGTCCCATTTGGTGCTTGCTGTACCGGTTGTGGGAGCTCCAAAATGAGCAAGGCCGCTTGGTTCTTCCGGACGAAATGGAGATCTTCTACATGAACGCGACGGCCCAGGAGATAGTGAAGAAGTCTGGCTGGAGAGGGATAACAGGACGCATTCAGCGTGGAGGGTAGCGCAAGTATGCGACTTTGCTTTGAGTTGACCGTATTTCGAAGAGTATCGGATTGGTGCATCGAAGTGATCAGTCTGTCCGTGTCGGCCTGACCGTGGAACGTAGGACGTGGAGACATTAATGTGTATTATCCCAAACCAATTCCCGGGACTAGCCCAAGTTAAAGCTCACAGGCTGTGAGGACTGGAGGGGAGCTGCGGGAGAATAAAAATGTGCATGTACGCAACTTGATGATAAGAGAGAAGGCCAGTGCTCAATGAAATTTGATAGACATACGGGGCATTCACGAAATGGAAGCATGTTAATGTAGTTGTAACACATATTTGGACATTTAGCACCGGAGCACATTTTTTTCTTAGTCCGGCAAGGTGTGCAGGTTGTTACTAGTTTTATCGTGGTTACGTTGAGCTGATTCAAAACGCATGCAAGCAAGTCCGTATCTTTTGCCTACGTCAAAGCTCCGAAGGTTCTCAAGCTGCCCCGCGTGTGGGAACGGACGGAGCTGGCCTCAGAATGCCTCAGACTTTCTCGTGCTTTAGGTACGAGGGCACATCTGAGCACGAAATGTAAGCCGCATTAAACTGTAGGTGATGGCAGCCTTGGGGCAGCGTTGAACGCTGCCAGTGCAGCTCTGCGAGAGGTGCTTTGTGACAAAACTGGTACTGGCACAAGCTATGCAATGATTGCTTGTTACCAAGATACCTTGGCAGTTGGGGTTCCTACCAAATGAGGGGTCCGTCCATGCTGGATAGATTTGCTATGCTTAGTTTCTTTATCTCGCCATTCACTTTGACAACCTCCGTTCACTTTGACAACCTCCGTGGGCATGGCACTTGCAAACGCCCAGCGGGTGTGGTTCTAATTTTTCAGGCTTAGCAAGCACTGTGACAGGCGTTGGGCCACCTGGTTGGGCCACCTAAGAGGGGCGAACAAACATCTAGCCGGGCAAGCTTTGTTGCACAAGTTCTTGTTACCTGCCGATGATTGCTTTGTGCCTGGCTTCTTGTTATTCCTGCCTGCCTGGCAGCCATGCGAAAGCTGGAATCATGCGTTTGTCATGAGGAGGCCACGGGCAGCGCACACGCTGAAAAGCACCTGGTGTTTCCTGGTCATTGTGCCATGCTTTGTGGCATCAGCCCATGCCGACAAAGGAAGATCTTATCGGCACCTTTGCCTTTACAAAACTCTGTCTGTTATGTAAAAGATCGAAACTCTTGCCATTCCTCTTCTGGCCTGCCGCTCTGAGGATTATCCTGTTGAACCAGCACAGCACGATTTTTAACCTTTTTTATGACCAACAGGTTGTGTTGCTCCGTTGGCTCTTCTGTCTGCACCCATTTGAGCGGGTCGTTTTCTGTTCTATCAAGTGTGTGTGTGATAAGGACGGAAATGGTTGTTTGATAGGGATGGTATGCATCAACTGTACGGTGAGCCCGGTTGGATGGTCTTGTGAAGGATCAACCCCGGAATAAATGGTCGAACCGAAATCGTTAAATTGTGGCTCATGTGGTTTAGTAGCGTGCTGGCTCGATTACTCCTACTGAGCGTCATGTGACGCCTTGCTTACCTCTGCTGTACGTTACACAACAATGGCAAACATGTTTTTGATTGTGCCCCACATTAAGTGTGGGGTTCTTATTTTTGATGGCCGTCGCCCCTCGACCCAGCGCCTCTTCTTCCGTCACGACATTTCGGGTCGCATGGGTCGTGCGTCGCAAATCGGCCCAAGTTGCCTTCAAAGTAGTCTTCCGGACGCGCCCGAAATCGTTGATTTTCATTAAAGATTATCCCCAATGCCTTTGAAATAGTCTTCCAGACCCTGCTGGCGACATTTCAGGCTACGCCCCAAATCGATCCAAATCGCCTTCAAAGTAGTCTTCAGGACCTTCCCCAGATCGTCGATTTTCATGAAAAACCTCTGGCACGTGGAGCGTCCTGGGACTTCTGTTTGGAAGCGACGGCCCTCTCGCTGTTTTGGACGCTGGCACGTGGAGCGTCCTGAGAATTCTGTTTGAAATCGATGGCCCTCTTGCTGTCTCGGGCGCGTTGCAGCGCTGGCGCGGAGCATCCTGAGAATTCCGTTCGAAATCGACGACCCTCTCGCTGTATCTGTCCGGCCGCAACATGCTCTCCGTTTCGTTGCCAGTTATCGTCGCATCATTTTTCAGCGGACGACAGCATCTGAAAATTTTCTCATTCAGATTGTGGTTAAGCTACACATGTGGGGTCTTCCGGTCCTTTAATTTTCAGGCGATTACCGCCACTTGCTTGCATGATCTAGAACATTGATGGCCCTGCGATCGCTTCCAGAATTCAATGTACCACCATCTCATTTTGCTGTGCCCTCCCTTCACTCCGTGTGGGGGTGTATTGCAACGATGGGCCCCAAATCGCTTTGCAAGTTCAGGCTGCAGAACCTGCAGCGACACGCCACCATCCTGATGTGATAGCGAGAGACGACGCCATGCACAACAATCCCACAACTTTGGAGCGGGAAGGGGTTGCGTAGTTCCATTTTCCAGGGAAGTTATTCAGTTTTGCACACATCTCCATGTTGCATGTTAATCCTTGCTGGCTGGCTTCGTGGAGATGCTTCTGGTCCGGAACCTGTGGCGCCGACGGTCTCTTAGCAGCTGAACAGTACCCAATGCTTGCTCCAAAGGTTTGCGCGCCAACGCCCAAACAGCGCCCTGCCCAAGCAGTGCCGTCAAACTCCAAAGTTTGAAGATCCAGATCCAAGACTCAGTTGAGGTAAAGGGTCAGGCATCGAGGGAAGATCGACGGTCGCTTTAAGGTATTTGGGGTCTTTGCCGACATGCTTTGTTGAGGGGCAGGACATTTCCCAACTCTGTCAAACCCCGTCTGCAGGTAGCTGACGCATGGCTGTTAAACCCTGCGCCGGCGGGGTAAGACTTCGCCATTCTATGCCTGGGTGTTTGCGCAGCAGTGCTGCAAGAGCCAGCACAGTCAGTGCCTGTCTTTCACTTCTGGATTAACTGGTGAGCGGCTGAGAATGCACAGTGTCACAGGCAACGGCGGCTGCCAAAAATTGCAGCACCGTGCTAAAGGCTTGCAATTTCACTGCCGTACTCAATACCAGATTCAGCAGCCATGAAAAAGGCTTGCTTTTGTTGAGATTGTCGCACGAAGAAGTGCTGACCCTTTGATCTGCTTGGTGCTCATCACACTTGGCAGTCATCGTCCCTTTGTTGCTTGTGGCGCCACACTCAAGATTGGCTTTTTTCCTCTGATTAAAGATGTGCTTCCTCAAGCAGGGTTCCCGACCTTGGCGCTTCAGGGCGCTTTCCACTTGTTCGAGTGCTGTCCAGCATGATAAGACTGCGTGGTGGCCTCGGCCCGTTTCTGTGTATGTTAATGTATGTTATGGCCTTTTGCAGCCATTACTTTTGATGTCGAGCTCAGGTGTAGACATGGGCCGGTGACTTGATCTTGTCACTTTGATATTCCTGAAATTTTGCTTAAGAGTTCGTAAGGTTCAACTGCGCATCCAATGGCGGCGCAGAGACAGGAGCAGATTTTGAAGGAGCAGAAGGCCCCCATCAATTGCATGGTGTTGAAAGTCTCCTGCGTCATGTGCAGGCTGAGGCAGAGGCATTGGTCCACTACTACGGCAGCGATCTTGGCCCCTGTTGTATGAAGCATTTTGCTCACATCCAACTTGTGGCTGTTTATGTACATCAAGGTACAACACTCGAAGAAATGTCGGAGCTTGGGATGGAAACTCTGTATGGTCCTGCATAGGTTGGCTTCCAGTGTTGCGCCAATCAGTCATGCTCAGAACGACATACCAAGGCAATCTTCATGAAGAAGTCCTGCACATTTTTTGGAATGTTCCATATTGCAGTTGCCAGTGAGTTGGAATGGCAGGAAACTTTCCGCTCGCACTCCTGGAAATCAGCAACTGCACCACCCTACAACAAGGCCACGCCCACCAAGACCCTGCCTCCAGGCTTGGGTGTTTTCCAAGAAAGTTGTTCCTAGGACTTGAGCTCTCACTGCCAGTTATGAAGCCTCCACAGCGCGTGTTCTCGTCTTTCGCCCCATCTCTGGTGGGAGCTGCAGGTCTGTCCCCAAAGCATCCTCATGTTCTCGTACATCTTTCGACAGTGGCACTGAGGCCTCGGCCAAGGGCCTGGTAACTTTTGCCACGGCACCATCGGAGGAGCTGCAGACCAGCGCACGCATGAAACCCAGGTTGTTACGTTTGCCCGGATGGCGCTAGTGTACCATGAAGACCTTGCCGTGGTTCAGGGAGCAGCGGGACAGGGAGGACAGCGTGTCTGTCTCCACTTTGCCGCCGTCTCGAGGATCAAAGGCGGAGTGACGTGCTAATTACGCAAGAAGGGTCTCTGAGCCTGAACATGTCCATCTGCCAGGCTAGCTTCGGCGAATTGCCTCCTGTCCTTGGCTCAGAAAGAGCACGAACGGCATCATCTGATGGCTCTCCAAGGTTCGGGATTATTCAAACATGTCTGTTCTCGTGATATGTTGCTACCATGCACACCCCCGTTGATCGAGAGAGGAGCAAGGCCAGATCCATGCTGCGCCTTTAGAAAGTCTGCTTTCAGCGGAAACCTCGAGTTGAGAATGCATCAAAGCGTTGTAGCACCAGCCGCACGCAATTTTCTCAACTCGCAAAATGCGCTGGGCGCTGGGCTTGTTGTATACCAGCAAATATACACACAACTGCGCCTGTAGCCTGTGATGGCTTCTAGCAGGAATATATGGCTTTCTAAGGCTTGCAGAATGTGCAAGCGTCTAACTTTGCCTTCAAAAATGCACTCAACTATTTTGTGTGGTGTCATATTCTCATAAGTGTGCTTGTACCTTCTAGTGATCCTAGTGGCCTCTATCGCAAGCTGAATGCAATTTTCTCAGCTCGCGAGATGGCTTCTTGTATACCAGCAAGTATGCACACAACTGCGCCCGGGAGTGGCCTCTGGCGCAAACCTCTGTGCCAAGGCGTCAAACGCATCCAGGAGATCGCTGGCATCTTTCCCAAGCTCGAGGAGTAGGTCAAGCCTCTCAAGTCGGTCACCCCCCCAGATGTTGACACGGAGCTGGGAAGCTGAAGCGGCCCAGTGCAAGGTCCGCTGTGCTGCGACAGGAAATCCAGAATGCAGCAGAGCACCTACTACAGCCTGGTTGCTTTGGGTCCAGTGCTGGATCGTTGTCCTGCCAAGAGCTTGTTTTCAGATCTCAGGTGCTGCAAGAAGTATCCAAACTCCGCACGCCCATGAGTGGAAGCGGGTAAGTGTTCTCTTTGAGGGAGGATCCATCTGAGAGATTTGAGCTGCTGATAATGATGAGATGTGATGAGTGGGTCGCAGGGCCCCTCTGTCCGGTGAATTTCTACTTGGCGCTCCTGTCAATCCTGCCAAGCAGGCCTAAGCAGGCGCGCCCTTCCATGCAAAGCCGAAAAGACGGTGGAAAAGAAATTGTAAGTAATTCTATCACAGAACCGCTGCAAGCACTCTCAATGTTGGCATTTGGCAGAAAGCCTGCAGACTGCTTCGTCAAAGCAATGTTCAAGCTTTCGTGAACCACTGTGTGCTCCTTCGTGCTGAGGCCAGTGTCATAGCAGGCGTTGGCAGGTGTTCAGGGCACTTCCATCTGCAGGCAGTTGGAGAGCATGCACCGTCTTCCCAAGAGGTACTTCGCAAGCCCCTGGCAGTAGGAGACTTTTCTTTGGCGCTTGCTCACAGAAGATCGCAGACCGTGTCTCTTAGGTCAAGGCTCGGAGGACTGCCTTCCATGGCCATTGGTTCCGCCAGGGCCCTGGAGCCCTGGCGCCCTGGCGCTGTGCCTCCAAAGTGTGCAGATGCTGCTTTGAAGGTGCGGACCAAGAAATGGAAGCCTTTCCACTCCATGTGCGCCGTTATGCCGTTGTGCATCTCGTTGCTTTGCGAGCTCCTCGTCAGTATTTGCAACTGATTTCGTGACCAGTCAAAAGCTGCGTGGAGACGACGAGCATGTTGAACAAGAGGACCTCTTTTCACTCTATTCATCCGCGCAGGTACCGATCGAATCGGCTCCGGGAAATCGGGCAGAAAGAAGCAGAAGAAGCCAAGGCCCACTTTTGGCTTTGGCAGTGTGTCCAACGCGGTGCCTTACGCCAAGGCTGCTGCGGAAGCCGAGGCTGCAGCAGAAGGGATCACTGTCCGCAAGGCCACCGAGGTTCGGGCGTTGGCCTCAGAAGTACGATATCTTTCCAAACAGCTAGCAACAAAGCGAACTGAAATTAAAATCGCTTCCTGTGTCCTGAAGAGTGCAGAGAAGGTTTCCGATTTCTTGATCGCAAGCTTCTGTATGATGTGAGATGACTCCCATGAGGTTGGCACAAGTCCTTTCCAGGCCTCGGTGATCGTGATGGATGCAAGTTTTTTCTTGGCTGCATTCCTGACGTGTGCTAGAGGCAACTAGGCTGATGCGAGCTTTCGATGTCTTCCCGGAAGAGGGCTCGCTGGTGACATTTTGGACAAGGCTGAACCTTGCGAGGCCTTGCGAGTACCAGCATAGTCAGAAACCATCTCAGCTCCAGGTTGCAAGTGGATCTGACTCGTGGCTCCGGCTTCGTTCAAGAGTTCAAGAGTTCAAGAGGCCCGCGTTTGCCTAAAGGCTTGGTTTTGCAACAGCCAGGTGAAAGTGTTCGCGGTACATGTCACTTGCACCAGCCTCGTGTCCACGGCTTGCTGGTGGCTCACACTACGCCATGATAGACTGCAACATTCTGAGACCGCATGGCCTAAGCCGTGATGTGAAAGTCCTGGCCTTCTGTCCGGACGATCAGATAGAGGACGTGAAGGATAAGGTCAGCTTGGATGCTTTTCATCTCAGACTGCAGGAGATGCTTGCAGCTGGGGCGGACTTTGCAGGTAGCCGTCAGCAAAGCGGCGAAAAGTTCACCTCTGGGTGGCCATGTGATTGCCATGCAAAAGGAATCAGCGAGCCTATCAGACGAATCAACCAAGGCATGTGTCTTGTGTAGCTGCAAAAACCAAATCTTTGACAGATGCAGGCTGGCTTGGCTTCGATCGCTGCTTAGCTACGCCCAGCATAATGTCCGATGCCTATTGACTGTGACCATCATGTTCCCTGCCATGCGCACTCATGATGTCTTCCCTTGACATGTGTATTCCTTCCCTTTCTTTGTCTCGCTCGGTTGCTTCCTTTCTTTCTGCTTTGCTTGCCTCACCCTATCCCTCTTTATGTGTGTGTGTGTCAAACTCTGTACCAAAGAGCATGTTCTTTATAGCTTCGATCATTGTACTGTGTAGTGCTTAGGGCAGGCTTGATGCACAGCAATCATTGTCATGCATGCAACACTTGAGCTTAACTTGATGTATCCGCTGCCGTTTCGGATTACAGCCAAAATAGGCTAACCAGTGTACTGGAGATTACCAGGAGTGTCCTGGAGTCATTTTCAACTTTTTCTCCCAGGTGTTGCCTGGTGGTGACTTGCATTTCAGGTGTTCCCTGAGGGATCCTGTTAATTCTCCCGAATGCCGGGATGGAGTCGGACCCAGTCCAACTGTTTTGTGCTGCCAATAGCCTTGAGTCCCGCGAGGACTTTGCCTTCCTCTTCGAAACCCGTGAGGAGGCTAACGAGGCAGGTGGCCCTGTAATAGCTGCTGCATGGGAGGTGGCCCGCAATGAGTGCAGCGAAGCTCTTGCAGTGAAGGTGCGCGACATCTATGCTATGCAAGCCGCCTCTGCTAAGCCAACTATGCCTGCCCCTCCCGCAGCCTCATCTTCAGCAAAGCCCACTGCAGCACCGCGAGTTGTGCGGAGAAAACACAAGTCAGATCTCGACCTGCCGGCCCGCAATGCCGAGTTCCGGCCTGTGCTTGTGGACATCTTAGTGTCTGGCAGCAAGTACTCAGCACAGCTCTGGTCGGATGCTGCTACAGGGGTCGTTACCACCATTGTGTCCAAGCCCCTTGCCAGTACCGAATATGCTACGCTCTCTCGGGTGAGTGCCAGCTGGAAGGAGCTTAAGCAGTACTGCGTGGGCCATGGCCATGGATACGGCTCTTCAGATGGCCTCCTTTGTGGCCGCCAGTAAGGCGCGCAGCCGCGTGCTCCCCGCCCGTTCATGTGCAGGCACCTCCACTTTACAGCCGATTTGGAGCTGGCTGGATCTTTGGCTGCTCCCAAAGGCGGTGGCATCCGTCATGGGACTAAGCAGGCCCCAGTGGCTCAGCCCGCCATGCTGTTGCGCTTGGAGGAGGCGCTGGTGTCGGCGGCCATCAGGGCGAAGAACCCCAACTGGTTATTTCTCTATGCCATGGCTGCAGTCCACTGGCTGCGTCCACCTCACGCATGTGCAGCGCAGCCGGCTTATCCGTATGGATGGGTACACAATGTATATCGAATGTACCCGAGGGAAGCAGCGGTCATTGCGTGCTGGCTTCCTGTGGTCAGCCCCGCGCTTTGGCGTCGCGGAAGATACAGACTTTGGGGCTTCCTTCGTTAAAGCCGTGCAGGCCTTGCCAGCCAAAGCCAGCCCGTGCTCTGTGGCATTTGACCTATCCACTGGAGCAGAGGTGGCACCGGCAACCATCAGGAGCGTGGTGCAGCTCACAATGGCTCCCCTAATGTATGCGGGGGAGGTTCATAAAGTCTCGTCGAAATCCTGGCGAGAGCTGCCGGTGACTCTCAGCTTTTCGGCTGGATTGGGCGCTACTGATGTGTGCGCCATAGGCAACTGGCTGGATTCCGCTTCGCAAGGCTGCAATGTGAGCCCTGGCGTTACCATAGGGCTAAACAGCTCCACGCAACCACGCTTAAGCACCGGATTCGCTTTGTGCTTAAGGACATTATGCTGGATCAGGCCTGGCGCACGTGGGAAGAGGCTGACCAAGGCGTTTTGCAGCAATCTATGGAGCGCTCCGTGGAAGCTGCCGCAGCTATCATGGCCTTTCAGACCCCCACTGTGTATCAATTCCGCGGGCAGCGCAACTTACTTAGGGAGCAAGCCCTCCGTGTGCCGTCGCAGATTGCCGCCCTTGTCTTTTGGAGAGCCAAGCAGCAGGTGCGTAAGCCCATCTCGGAGTTGAGTTTTGCAGCCCATTGATTTCCTGATTGATGCAGCGTTTGATGTCACATGTACTGAAGTTCAGCAAGCCATTGGTGAAGTCCTTCCCGAATGCCACCTTTTTTCAGCGGCCATTGAATGTTCTACAAAGTCCCGTATCCGTGAGATCAACCGTGGACCGAGACCATTGCGCTCCTCTCAGTTTCCGCGAGGTTTGCTTCAGCTTGCGCCGCTTGAGTCCTCTAGAGTTGAGGCAGACAATCAGTGTTCGGATTTCGTGTTGGCAG